ATATGTGTCCATGGCACCCGCGATACAGGATTTCCTTAGTACGGCTATGAAAGTGTGTGTAAAAAAAAAATGTTTTTTTTTTATCACTAACTGTATTTTTACATCTGACAATTAGTCTGCTTACTGCTTTGAATGAGAATTCTCGTATTATGCACATACAATTTCAATTAATATTATGTCCATGAATAAATAAATACCGAAGAAATTTTCTTGTTTATTATTTTTTATATTAAATTGACTTAATCGATTCTTAACCGATACCGATAGACCTGTAACAAAAAGATGGAATCTATGATGGAACGAGCTCGCCCAGAAAACACGTAATCATTCGCACCTTTACGATTGTTTGTGTTCGGAAACACAAATACTACATCGAGTTTAGATAGTTTTATTAGCAAGAGTTCCTTGCAAAAAAGTACAAGGAAGTACTGCCATCTTACCTATATTTGCCGTCAAGCAGTAATGTAATGCCGATTTTGAAGGGTATGTGTGTTAGGGAAATTACCGGCATATAAAACTTGAGAACTTACGGCGCCGACGAAGTCGTGCACCTGGTGGTAAGTAACACGCCTGTCCTTAACAGTTGCAGTGCCACTCTGAGCTTTCTCTTCTCTCCGACTCACCCTGTAACATAAATGCACAGTTCCCATGTGCCTGTAATTTCGCCAGCACCCTCACCCTTCAAAACCGAAATGCATTAATGCTCACATCACTGCTTGGCACCAAAAACAGGTAAGACGGCAGTACTTCCCTGGCCGAACTCTTTCACAAGAAGCTGTACTGCTACTAAAAGTGTCAATACTAGTGTTTCTTGATATTGAATATCACGACTATTTTCATTAATAAATTTAATGAAAAAAGTCGTAGTATAAAGTGCAAAACCATGTTTAATTCTTGCGTTTAAGTTTCGTAAGAAACACTACAGCGGATGTTCAAAATAATTTCACATAAACATGTAGTCTCCAACACGTATTGGGCAACATTTGTGGACTACGGGATCTCTCTCGTTCACCTACACTACTAAAATGTAAACGCCCGCCACTATAGTTGTCAATTTTAGTTCTACATGCTTTTCTCTAGCCAAGTTTGCTTAAAGAACTTGCTGTTTACAAATAGGGTCACCTGTTGTTATGATTTCCTTGTACATTGTTTATCCTAGCGTCTATCATTCTCGGTAACAACAAATCATAGAACAAGTTTAACCATTAGGTTATATAACCTAATGGTTCAACCAATAATGGTTCTCATAAACCGTGATGGCTATACTGTACAGCAACGTTAATACCACTGTACTATGATCACCTAGGTATCCAAAAGCGATTTATTGTTCTTCTTTGATCATCCACGTAAAAAGAGTCATATAAATTATCAAACTGTTTTATGTCTCTCTTAATCACTCGCAGGCAAACAAAAGCACATTAGCCACGTTTAATACGTGATTTCCTTATTTAATATTCAAATTAGAAATGAGTAGTGTGTGTTTGCGTTAATTAATGCACGCTGTGATCTGTTTGTACCGATACGCGAATATTATAATGCTCTCTGACTAGAGAATGTTCTAGATATAAAATAATATAATATTTTAGAGTCCAAAGTATGCCGCCTGGTGAGCGATTATACCATCCATTATACGAGAGTATACCATCTTTGTCCACATCTTTACTTTCCATCACGCGAGAGTGTGGACAAACACGAACCTGCATGGAAAATATATAAAAAAGTTTAGATACGTACGTACAAAATACCATCAATTGGAAATATTTTTTTTTTCGGAAATGTATCTCGTATGTTTAACACTGGTTTTACTTTTTTGGTTGTAACATTGGTTTGTTTTAATTATAACTTTTTTATTAATAAAACCGACCTCAAGGGTTTGTGGTATTATACAAAATTTGCCAAGTTTTATAGAAATCGGTTAACGGAAAGTAGGTGAAGTACAATAAACCGGATTCATCCCCTAATTTGCCACCCTTGGAGGTAGAATATTTTCTTTTTTACAAATTCGAAGGTTCAAAGGTAAAGGTAGGTACCTTTACCTTTGAACCTTCGAATTTGAAGTACCCCTTTTATAACAAAAAAAAACTGAGTAATAGAGTAACACACATAAAAAAAACAGTCGAATTGAGAGCCTCCTTTTTTTTAACTTTATAACAAATATAAAGTTATATTCGAAAAAAAATTTGACTCATTTTCATTGAGTAACAATAGCGAAAACCTAAAAACTCTACAATGTCATCAATGTTCTGATTACCCATCAAGACGATAACGCACACTAAGTCTAACATACAACTCATGGTGATCATTCCAGAACCTGACTACCAAAAATGAGCAACCCTACCCAATATAATTTACGTTTTGTTCAAGGCTTACAAACCTCCGCCTAGATTCGTTTGCGATGCAAAGAAAGTATAATACGTTATCGGCCGTATCTTATCTTCTTAACCCGATAGCGGGATGGTTCTTCCTACCCTTCAATCTGGAACTCAGAAGAGCTGTTTTGTGTTAAGACTAGATTAGATAGATAGATAGATTGCAACGATTTGAACCTGGTATGTCAACAGAAAATATCACCAACACAAAGATAGATTAATTGATTTCAGAAATGTTATTCAAAGATAAAACTTGGGTGACCCTACAGAGTGAAACTGTATTCTTTCAAAATTTTACCGTACACTATTATTTCTTTCTAGATACAACTTGTGATTTCCTATAATACGAACAACTCTAGACTGTCATAATCCGCGATACAAAGCCATAAAAATAATTAAACAACAATCAGTCCGGGCCGGCGACACACGCCCATTATTCGGCTACCAAAACCGCCATCTCGAACACCCGAATCCCGTAATTGCGGGGTTCCGATACACATAACTCGTGGTAGCCCTAACCCTAACTTAACTTCGGCGGCCGACTACGCTGACCGTTTTGACCCGCTATGCATTATTGCCAGGGCTGTCAAAAACAAACGGCTATTAATTGATACCTTCTGGATTTTAAGGGTAAGTGTGATGGTGAAACTACAAACACATGGGACTTGTCAACTTTATTTAATTTGCAGTGGCAGTACTCCTTACATCTCAGTGATTTAAAGCGCTGAGTGGTACTGTAGCTGTTATGAGTCGGCGTGTCGCTTGCCACTAGGCGCAAGACTTATTTATCCCGTCACTTGCTATCACAAAACAAAAATATTAAATATAAAATATATTATGTGTCAACCCTGACGCCGGCTCCCATTGTTATCTAAGCCACAAAATAAGCCATCCCTTGACCGCCGCCTGAATTAGGGCTGTCGATATCCAATTGAATTTCAATGGCCATAACATCATAGGGCAATGATTGCTTGTTTTGCATGCCTTTTTTTAACTTTTTTGTTGTTTTTTTATCAATTTCTCATATATATTAATAACTGTTGTCATTCACGCTTTTATCCCAATGTGAAGTCCTTGCTTAATCTTGTTTTTGCCTTTGAACTCCTTACAAAATAAAAACCAATATCGTAATGTCTCAGTGACGGAGTCACGTTAATGGTAGTATAGTTACGTTAATGAGCATATTGGTACTCAAAGTGTTAAGCAAATTTAAGTAATATTACGGTGGCCAAATCGAATATTATAATCCAACGGCCTATTCTTGAAACGGTTATTATTGATTTGTATCACATTAAATAAATTGAACTGTAAGTCTGGCCACGCCTTTGTAGAAAAGGTACCTCTTATTAAACAAGCCTCTCAACATCAAGTCTCATCAGCTTTTACAAATCTTTTTACTCACTTCACTCCTGTCACATACATTAAGTAATCGTGGTATTCAACAAACTCCCTAGATTTTCTCTTGTTGAAGTTTTCTGAAAACGGTAAGTCAAACGATACCTATTTATTTAAATTTTCTGCACTGTCTATTTTAAAGGCTATCCATGCTACAAATCGAACTTATCTAGCACTGGCCCAGTACTAATACTGCCCCATAAAATTATAGTCATATAGAGGCCGCACCATACACCGTTTAGCCAATTTTATAAAACAACAAAAGGATTAGACGGGTCGGTGGGCATTTTGACGGCGCGATTAAAATATTATAGTGGTCAGCTTCTGTTTACATTATTCTGGGTGTAGTTGGATTTGTTAGCCGCATCATTTGCATTAAGGATTTGCCTTACATAATTGAAGGCAAACGTTTTGAATTTGTCTACGAAATATTGAGTGATTGTTCGTTACCGTAATAACGATTTCAATACTCGATAAAATATTAACGCGGAAGTCATTGGCCTTTGTAAAGTCTTTAATATACCACGAAATTATTTCTTAGCTATGTGAGGCAGTGCAGACGATTTTTAGAATTTTAAGCTTAGAGGATTGAAACTAAGATTTTAAGATAGTCATGCTGTTCATTTTTGTCGACACCGGCTGGCTTTGTCCTGATTGGTTTATATCTAGACAGGCGTGTAGCTTACCATCAGGCGCACGACTTGTTCGTCCCGTCATTCGAAGTTATAAAAAAAATATCATTTTATAAATTTTCACCCATTTATTTCGGTTGGCAAAAGATCCACCATACTTACAGCCTCTTTTAATAACATATCTCAAAATTGGCACATTGTTTCGTAAAAATACTAAATTACGATCGCTTTACAAATTGTGAAGATAAGGAGTTATTATTTCTTTATTTTATATTTATTAATATAAATAAGTTCAAAATTTTACTTCAATGTATGTAGTTTTGGTCATAGATATACATAGAAATGTTTTTTAAACATGCATATTACACATATTACATAACAATACTTATTTATTTATTCGGAATAAAGGTTTACAGCGGAAGCCAAAACCTTATAATATGCTAGCCAAAATGTAGTACATATGGCCAATAACACGCCTTGTTACCTGTTTGGATTGTACTTGCTGTAGATCCACGCGGATCTCTATCTTAAATAATGTTAAGTATGTGTGTTATGTAGGTATTTATGTAATAAATTATTTATGAAAGGTGCAAATAACCCTTACCTATCAGACCAACACAGAGCGTCGTCTCTATACCTGAAAACAAAAACGTAACCTCGTTATTGATATTAATAAGACATATGTGAGTGTAGTATGAAATTTTGCTAAAATAAAGGTGTCTACATCTTTCAAATGTGGCGTATTTACCTCAAAGTGAGCAATATCTTATTACGCAAAGAATGCACCATTGCACATGCCTTATTGATCTGGACGAGACGACTCGTGGTTGGTTCATTTTTCTCAAACCTACAATACCTAAACAAAGATAATAATCTTCTAGAAACGGTTAGAATTTATATTCCCAGCGTCCACAACAGGGTGTTATAATTTTTATTCATTTTATTGTCAGCACATGTTCGCTGACCAATGTACATTTTTAATTTACTCATTAACCAATAAGGGCACGTACAATTAATCCACCTAACGCTAGAATCTCTCGTAGTTCGTTTGGCAGATAGTCGATTACACATCGGTAAAACACTAATTGAACTGTCTGACATACATATAAGAGGATAATGATGACCACGACCTGGATGAAGTACATCTGAGATAATGTTCAACACCAGCCATCAAGCAGTGGTTGGAAAAACAGGTCTTGAGGTCGTGACCATTCACAACATGTACCTTTCATAAAACTATCAGAGACTAACAATTTACACGTCGCGACACACCTTTTTCACGCAAACAATAGCACTTCCTTCAAACCTACATCCATGACCTAGACTATTTTCCAAGTCTACGACCTCCCAGACGCTGGATGAATAATTCAGCGCGGGCGCCGACTAAAGTACCGTGGACATTATTAATAACTACTGGTTAGCGCATTACTTCTCATCATTTAAATAGACGAACTCAATGGACGAATGCTAACATGTACTCCGCTCTATTTTTGCGAATGTGTTGCCTTCAGAGCCGCTTTAAGAGGATAAAGGAGGCTTGAGTCTGTTTCTAGGTAAATTTATTGCTCAACCTAAAAAAAACAGGTGATCCATTATCACTGCATAATGTGACATTTTGTAATTATTAAACATTTACTTTAATTTCGATAACCCATAAGTAGCTTTTCATCTTTATAATAATTACTTTAATTTATATTTTATCATGTAAGCTATTGTGGTAGACAACAGAGCGGCAGCTGAAAAAAGCTTGGTTTTCATTTTCTAACAAAATCTTTAGAATAGTGATAAATGCCTCTAAATGCTAAGTAGCGAGACGCCCATTATAACCAAAGGTACACGGTTCAATTAATACCCTACCTAAAACCGGCTCCATCATTACTTCATCATTTCATCTTTTTAACTAATAAATATTAATCGCTCCACTGAAGAGGTTCATCGCTTAGAAGTCATTACTGTGCACCTTATGTGCACAAGAAACGTAAAAACTGGAAAATTAATGTTTACTTGCGAGTTTTTGCCTTTATCTTGATGAATGTTGTTTTTTCGTACTGGTGGAATTACAGAGTGAGAAGGTGGTATTTATATCAAAATAACCATTATCTGTTTAAATATACTCCATTCAGCCAGATCGTTACAAAGAAGGATTTAGCAATAAGAAGTTGGCGCGTTCCGAAATGGCCCGATTCCGTCACCGGCGGCTCGCGAGGCGCGGGCGGCGCCGCGCGGCCCACTCCGACAAATTACGCCGTAATACCGCATCTGTATGCGCGACGCGAACATCTTCCGATATTAGAACGGAACTTTGCTCCCTGTACGCTGCAGAAGCCGACTTCTACATTTTTCTTACATTTTTCAACTGTTAACGTCTGGTAAACTCCAGACACGCCTTCTGCTAACTTGCCTTTGCTTTTCTATTTTAGTAAGAAGCATTTTAACATAAATATTTTTCTACATTATTCATGATTCAAAATAAATTCGTGACAAACACCCAATAACGTTTTCATAACTCACCGAGTGGAAGGTGTCTAAAGTGCCAATATTGCGTACACATGTTGTACTCCCCGCAGAAAATTTTAATAAAGCACCTCCATAGCGCGGGGCGTTCGTAAATTTGTCGAATGAAATATGTCGAACAATAATCCGTATGAGCGTTGATGCGCTGATCATAAAATGGTAGCGTTCCTTATTGCGCCGCAAATGCTTTTATCGTGTTCCTGCTTCTCACATTCGAGTTCGACATCTTTTTTGTTTGAGATTGATAATGAAATCTCTAAAAGCTACCAAGAAAATTTAAAATCACGTTTTCCACTTAAACACCACATTTTGTGCTTATAGAAAAAATGTATTTATTATGTAATAAGTTGAAACAAATCTGAATCTGAAATATTTTACAGGAGTACCCGGTTTAATATCTACAAATTGAATTTGAAGTTCATTTTGAATACAGAACCCGAGCAAACACACATTTAAAGTTATAAGTGCCGTTGAGCGCGTTCAAAACTCAAATGCCATAAAACGTAATCGGATTCAGTTTAGGAGCGGTGTTCGACAAGCGAAATGGTACGATGCAATTGTCAACACTCGCGACCGGCCCGTTTTGCATTTTATAACACTCGCTTAGCGTTTCCGAACGCGCTGTGACGACTTGGTAATGGGCCCATCAATTTTAAGAACTGCTAACGTCGCTACTTTCGAAAAGTTTGTGAATTATTTACTCAACATTCCTTTAAATACTAAATGCCCAAAAAAACACGCAATAACAAAACGTAAAAATTCTTAAATAGATACGATGGATTTACTTGCAATGTAATAGGTAATGTCATGAACAAAACTTCCAAGTCTTTACGATATTGTTTTTTTTCTGAAAAATGTTTCTAAACATTTCTTTCAACCTTTTCAAATTTTTCGGACAATTACCCGATACTACTCAGCAGGTATATTAAATTAGCAATGAAATCGTGACCCAATTTGCAATGAAGTCATAAGTCAGAGAACTAAAGTAACCGACATAGTTCACATAAATAAATAAGATAAAGTGGCATTGCGCCGACCATCAGGCCGATGGAGCAGTTTTGTTAGAGGAAGGTGCTCGGCAGTGGTTGAACGCAGGTGGCGCAACACGGTTTATGTGTAGCAGTGGATGCGTATAAGCTGATATGAACTACAATATATTTCTAAAATACTTTCAATTATCCAAAATATAAAAATAAAGATTCTGATTTTTTAAATTTGTATTGAAATTGAAATGGGAAGTGAAATTGAGGTGTAACATTGAATACATTTTTATTATAATAAAAAGATATTATTTATATTGCAGTAACTTTTTTTTGTTTACTTTACCTTGAGTAACTACTAAAAATCGCTGTTCCTCTAATCTACTTCGAGCAGCAAAACTGAAAATATTTCCAGAATATTCCGGAATATTCTCCATATATTAGCAAAAAATATTCATGACAAAAAAAAGTTTCGCTAAATCGGCGTCTCTTACAAAATGTAGAGGACTATCTCAGTCTCAGTTTATCAGATATTTTGGCTCAGAAACTTCAAAGCTAAGAGATTCATTTCTATAAATAGGTAAAAAACTTCGTAACTTAAGAACAAATAGTTTTAGAACTTGTAAAGATAGCCCTAGTTAATAATGCCCCCACTCAACTGAGTTTTTCCACGTCCAAAATGGATTCCCCACTTTACACCCAATTTCTCAAAAACTATGTTTAGATTTTAAAATTTTTAATTATTCGGATTTTCCGAGATGAACTTCAAATACAAGGCGTGGGCAAATGTCAACATTTGCTTATTTTTTTAAATAAGTCAGTTTGCTAAGAGAACCCTCTATATGATACGTGGAATGATACAATGTGAGAGACCAGTTTAATTTAAAAAAAGAAAAAATAATTCCAAAATTCTTACACCAAGGGTTGGAAGGATCATCATCATCACCCTATCGCAGTCCACTGCTGGACATAGCCCTCTTGCCAATGTGCGCCACTTTTAGCAGATCGTCACTCCATCTGGCGTCCTTACACTACGTTTGCAGAGTCGCGATCTCCCCTCAAGAAGTCGTTTTCTCATCGGTTATTGGATAGATTTTGATAGTTTTTAGTTTAGATTTGAGTAGCAAACTCTAAACAATCTTAGTAAAATTATTTATCTAATAGAACAATGAAATAAGATCTAGAATGATGAATTAGTTAATTAAGCACGTTTCGATGCAGATTATTTTAGACAGAATCCGTTAATGCAAGTTATAACGTCACAAAAGAACTTGCTTGACGGAGAATCTCCATAAAAACTCTTCAAAAATATGCCTAACGCGTTTAGTGTAATTTTGAACTATGGCTTAAAAATAATGTGCAAAGCAAATAATAATACTATATTGAATGATACAGTACAACTTCAATGAACAAAAAAACCTAGAAAGGCTGATAGATAATAAGAATAACGAGTTTCCTTAAACTACAGATTACAGCTAGTTTTAAAAAATGACATTCCTAATCCATTATACGTCCCACTGCTAGGCATGGGACAGATGTCACACAAAGTCCGCCACACTGGCCCAATGTTGGTTAGGTTACCCTCACCCAATGATTGCATTTGCTTATTCAAATACACAACAAATCATTTGTGCTAAATCGCGTATACTAGACGGAAAGTTCTTTGAAAATGTAGTTCTATTTTCCTGTTGCAAAGTTCAGCACTTGGCTTTTGCTATAAAACAAACAGGAGCGATATCGGAACGTTATTGCGGCTAATTACGGTTAACCCTTGCCCCGAGCGCGGAAACCGCCAAGTTGACACAAACACGACCAAACTTACAGCTATTGAACGCACGTGACGCTGCCTTCTCTACCGTACGATGTTGGATTTCGCTACCTTAAATATACTCTGCGACTGGTACTACACACATCTCATTGCCGTCACTATATCTACGCGTAAAGGAGTCAACAATATATTAGGTCTTTACCTATGAAATTGGCCTTTTATGTAGAGAGAATTGAAAAAAAATAATGATAAATATGTGTTTAATTAATTTAAGTATGGACCATTATAGTCGATGCTGTTTTGCCATTTTAATGGAAGGTTCGCTGTTTCTGCTATAGAAATCCTGGGAACGGCAGTCGATGATCTGTTCAAAGG